GATACACAGTTACGTTGTATAACATAGTTTTACTTTGTGTGATACACAGTTACGTTGTATAAGATAGTTGTCCTCTGTGTGATACACAGTTACGTTGTATAACATAGTTTTACTTTGTATGATACACAGTTACGTTGTATAAGATAGTTGTATTTTGTTTGATACACAGTTACGTTGTATAACATAGTTTTACTTTGTGTGATACACAGTTACGTTGTATAAGATATTTGTACTTTGTGTGATACACAGTGACGTTGTAGAAGATGTTTTTACTTTGTGTGATACACAGTTACGTTGTATAAGATAGTTTTACTTTGTGAGATACACAGTTACATTGTATAAGATAGATGTACTTTGTTTGATACACAGTTACGTTGTATAAGATAGTTGTACTTTGAGAGGTTCACAGTTATTTAGTAATAGAAGATATTTGTGCGTTTTGAGATACACAGTTTTTTGGTCCAAAAATATATTTATACTTTGTGATATGCACAGTTCACTGGTCTAAGAGATACTACTTGTGCTTTGTTAGATACACAGTTACCTAGTATGATAAGATATTTGTGCTGTATGAGATACAGTTATTTGGTATAAGAAGATATAAATATGTGTGAGACATAAACTCACCAAGGTAATTAAAGCATAAACGTTTTGTGAGACGGAGACTTACCTGGTCTATGAAAACATTCGTAGTTAGCACCTGGTGTCGCTCATCCTGTAAATAGCAAGAAAAATATACGAAATATACAGCATGAAATCACTTTCAGATGTTTTTGATAGGATGTAGAAATGAAACTGAAAATAGTTCAATAAGTCTATTTTATAATATATTTTTCAATGAAATAAAATGTTCTTTTGCCATACGTTTGAAATGTTCAACGGTTTGAACAGCGCATACTACATGCATATAAATGTAGGAAATTGTTCCATGATTAAAACCGAGAAAAAAAACATTATCGAAAAATGTAATACCATAAATCATATTCGTAGCCAATAAATACGTTTTGGTCGACCGTTTAGGAAATGAACGTTATCGAGTCCGGTTCTTGTATTACTACTTATAAGCTTTGACGTACATTACCCTTTATGAATGCAACATAAATTAGAAGCGTTATACAGCGACGATGTCATTAACATGTAAACAGTGTAATTTGTTTCAAACATACGTAACGTTCTCCGCTGTATATTGATATAATCTTGTGTTTTCTTTTATATGTGTATGGATGTAGAGTGGTTCATAATTGCTCAACTGATCACTTGTTGGTTAATTGGACAGACTGACAAGTTCTACATCAATGAGCCAACGAACCGTCGGTCACACTAACGAACAATTTGTATTGGTAACGTAGGCTACCGAATTATTGACGCTCTACAGTACAAATACTTGTACTTTCTGTATTTAGATGTTTTTATTTATATATATATGTCTTTTCACTGTAAGTATTTGTTCCTCCAATATTATAAGCAGTTGTACTTGTCTATAAACAAAAGGGATATATGCAAGTGATCCCGCGTGTATTTTACGCATCGGACAAAGAGAGCACAATTTTCCTAATCGATACAGTCATATCTCAACTTTCGGTTCACGACCATGCTTTGGCCTTCGGCTGTAATCTCGAATCTCCTATACTCAATACCATTCATTGGTGTTGTAATTCAAACAGAAACGTCATGTAACTATTACAAACCTTTATAGCAAGTGGTGTAGAACAAATATTAGCCGCAGCATCAACAGTGAAATAGTAATTTCAAATGCAGTGCGAAACAACAATAACGGAAACCGAGGAGGCACGAAAACACAGGAACATACGGCATGATTCCTCAGAAAAGATCGTAGACGAAACTTCCTACGCCAATTGTGGAACCCGTCATTATGGCGTCTGTCAAATCTTTTACACGGTAAACAATTTTGAAAAATCGGTGTCGTCTTTATTTTGGCTGAAATGTGATTTCGTGCATTGTCACATAGGTCGATGTCGGGCTTTGTTGTCTGTTGACGTGACACAATGGACAAAGTTTTACTGGAGAAACAGTCTGTAAAGTAAATGGGTAAAGATTTCGTAGAGATGGAAAAGGCACGTCAAACAGTCATATACCCATTGTATATTGTGTACTGTTTGTTGGTTGTTCTTATAATCTTATCCAATGATTCGATATTATTGTTGTTGTGAAATGTCATTCCTATTGTTTACTGTACCACTGTTATTGATCGTTCGGGCCTTGTATAATGTGAAATCATATACTGTAAACGACCTAATTTTAGTGCAATATTGAATTTCGATAGATTAGCGCATAGATGGTTCAGCGCACCCCAAAAAGTATGCAATAGAGAGCAACGTGCAACAGCTTCAATAAGCGCATATTCATAATTAAGCGCAATGATTAAAGCGCGAAAAGCCCTCAAGTAAGATTTTACATGTAGAATTACGAAACAAGAAATATGAATATTGAATATACAATAACAGTAGAAAGATATACAGCCCAACAGCAAGGTGTACATTTAAAATAGGAATGACACATTTTACCATGAAAATAACGGAACATATGATAAGCATGTCAGACATTCAAAAACGAAATATAGAAAACAATAGCAAATTTTACAAAATGAAAAACAAAACATTCTAAAAAAAAAGAAGCATGCAATAGTGCTGTATTACAATATTAATAATATATTAATACAACTTAATAGGTAATGTTTGGACAGCACCCTAGAACAGCACAGATGACTTATTTGGGGAGAATTTTGAAAATGTTGTTATATAAGATTTATTTTACGTGTCCTATTCTCCATAATTACAGAATTAATGTACGTTCATAGAGAAAAAACTAGCTTACAATTTGATTGGTTTTAAAATTAATAAAGAAATGAAACCTCGTTGGTTCAATTAATGGAAAATCAAACGAATAACTTTTGCATTAACAGCTGTGTAATGGATACAACAGTAAAAGGTAACAGTGGTTTATCAACCATTCCATTCCAACATTCCGATATTGTGTGAAACATTTTATTTTTTTTTATTATTGCAGAAAAAAATAAAATCCTTTTACCCAAAATCAAAAACAAAAAAAAGTAAAACCTGTTTACGAGAACGGAAAAATAAAAAATAAAATATCCAAAAGCCTTTTAATAGAAGTGCTTGCGTTAGCAGGTTAGCTTTATTTTCAGATGTTTTGTTATTCAAAAAATGTATTTATATCCAGGAAACTGAATGAAAACGATATATTGAAAGCAGTAGGGGAAAGATTTTCATTGGTGAAGAATCACGGTCGTAATTTATGGCGCTTCACGGAGAATATGTAAGGGGACTGCAACATCTTGAATTCTTCAAACTGATTTCTAGTGTCTGCAGTTGTGCTCTGCGGACTGATAGTACGCCGTTGTTCTTTTAGATGTAACAGACTCCAGAAATCGATGGCGATCCTGCCAAAAACATTTACTGAACCTTTCTCCGAGCCTTAGCTATGGAATATCAAATTCGATTTTTTAAGGCTAAAGTTCAACTGCATTGTGCATTTGATTACTTAGTTGTTATGCAACTAAGACCGTTGCTAACCCAATCAACTATTTAATGTTCAACGACGTAGAGAAAATATTCATTCATGAATAATCAAATAAGACTTCAACGGCTGTGGTTATAGTTGTATACCAATTTATTATCTGTATACGACTCGTCCCAACAAAGTCTAACACGCCAAATCGATCTGCTTTTCTAGTTTCTAGAGGTGGCAAGTCTGAATTGGTAGAAAAGGAATGCTGCCTTGCAAATCAACTTGTCCTCGAGCCCTTAGTTTACACAAATGTTAATCATAGCCGGCAGATGAGATTCACCAATAACATATACGTGGGTCAAGGATATAATTAGGATTTTCTATAGGCGATGATGATAAACTGGAGTCATGCTACATGTCTGATCGGTGAATGTGTGGGCCAAGGCCTCCATTTTATTTCACACTGATGATATTGTTCATTGATGACATCATGATCTAGTTGACGTAATATCCATTTGTGAGTATAACGTATAAAAAACTTAGATAATACTTTGAAAAAAAGATAGTTTTATTTTCAGTTATTAGACGTAAAAAGCATGAAATAGACCTGGCGGCTAAATTTTGAAAATTAAAATTTTCAGAAAATTGAAAATAGTTTATTATTTATGTTATCGCATATATTTATCATATATCTATTTTTGAGGTATGGCGAAGTGGTATACTGAAGGGGTGAGATTAGAGGCTTAGTCATGCGATAGATGGGGGACTGTTAGAGGTGTTCCGAACAGGTATGATAAAAGGATACGATAACATGTCTATGCGATAAATTGGTTCTAATAAAAATATTCCGAAATAGTATAATAAACGGATACGATAAATGTATTAGTCAAGTGATAAAGGGATCTTAAAGAGGTACTCCGAAGGGTCGAATTAAAGAGGAATGATAAAGGTTTAAGCAATACGATATGAAGATTATGCGATATAGAGCAGCGCTGGCGAAGCTGATACAGTCTCACAAATATTTCAAGTATCAAATATACAAAAACAGCTTGCATTCCAATAATTGTACTCAAAGAAATTCTTCTCATAAAAAAGCTTTTTAATATCGCACTATGTAGGCGTTATATAGATACATGTACACATACAGCGAATCGCTCTGCTAAGACATGGAATAACTGTTTGAAATAAATCTAGATTTTCGAAAGATTTATTATCAACCACATCAATTCTTTTCACTACGCAATGACAAACAAACATCCTCTTAAATCTGTTTTATGTATATTCTGCAGATTTAATCATCATTTTGATGATCGTACAGAAAGTAATTCGCAAGTGTTGTTTACTGTCGTCTGCCTGATCAACGTCAGTGAGATGCTTACTTTTCATAAAAAAGATCAGAATGCTTTTAGAAAGGCCCATTACAAATGTAACAGGAAAATGTCTTAACCGGTAAAAACATTATGTTTGAGCGTAACGCTACACATTGGGCTGGCTAACACGATGACCTGTGCATTCAGAACGAAAATAGTTGAAAAGGCAGATATGCAGTGTTTTCACCTCTCGATGCCAATAAGATCCACAACTAACGCATGGCCGTCAATATATATATATGTATATATATATAAAATATGTATCTTTTTCAATAAAGCAAATTAAATGACGCATTGTCTTTAAGATTTAGAAAAGACGTTTACACTTTTTCTAAACCTGATGACAAAGTCAAGTTATCTTCAGCAAGTTGACTAAGGCAGATCAATCCTTCATCACTTAGACATAGTCTATCGCTAACAAACATAACTATCGTATATAAGATCGAAAGACTTTCCAAGACCAGGATGTTGAAACCGACACATACGACAAGGGGAATAATGAGCTGATTGGTCGAGACAAGTATAGAAAATATAATAGTAATCTCAGTAGAAACGAAAAAATACACATCAGTGGTTATTACAACGTCTATCCGAAGTCAGTGTCATTCTTCAAGTTGAAAGTAGCTGTTCCCAGGGAGACAGGCAGGACACAAGATATCCGTCCTTTTGACATTTCATTAACAAAGAGGTTTTCCCGTGACTGGTTTACCGTGAAGATCAATAGTATAGCGTCTCTATGTCAGCTCTAAACATATATACATGTCAATATGTCGTCTTTAAAAAAGGCCAGTTGTATGACAATCTACTTTCGGTTTGTCAAAACCAATTATACAGTCTATTGCTGATTATATTTCCGTAAGATATTGTTGTTTTTCGCCATGAAATGGAGTGGAAGCATCGAGTCTATGTCATTGTTACTATAAATATATTATTTTTCTCATAGCTCTGCCGTCCTCTTTTTCACTCAGATTACAGTGAAACGTCAAAGAAATATTTAGCATTTAAATGCTTTAATTGAATTTGTGCTTCCTGCTTCTACATTCAAGGCCATTGTTTCTGTACAGTGAATAGAAAGAGTCTGTCGTTACCTTTTGGTCCTCATTTTAAGTCGGACTTTCAGGCAATTGTTCAGTACTATGCATAATACCGACGACGCTTTTGCGCCAAGGTCACTGTTACTATCAATATAATTTAATTATGTAATCATCACTTTATGCCTGATTAAAGCAAATGTTGTGTGCGAAGGGCAGTTTTCGTATAGAAATAACTTCCAATATATATAACATCAAACCGATTTATACTTGATAGTAAACTTTAACGATATCACGGTTGGGACATTTCGGACAAATGTATAAACGTTGCACAAAGGACCAACTCATCGTGAATGACAAAGAGTCTCAAAAAGGAGAAATGTACCACACGTAGCCATTTTAACACTATTTATTGATATACTTAACATCAAACAATCATACATCCAATTAACACCCACCTACAGAAACCTATTACGGTTTATTAGAGTAACCATAGGAAATAACTCATTCAAAATATTGAAATATTGCAAAACATTTGTGTTTTGCTTGAGAACATTACCTGTACAACGCTTCTTTTGGTTAAATGTGTTCCTTAAGCATTTTCTCATTGGAAAACAATACTGCAATTAAGGAAGATTGCCGGAGCTTTAGAATCTTCGTAAATTCCGTCAATGTTTTCCAATGTAATAAAGTAAGTTAAGGAATATCCCCAAGTTTAAAAAAACCGGTCGTGGAATCGGAGCCTTAGTTTCATCATTTTTTTTTGTCGTATGTGATGTCTATACATGCGGAGTGACAACTTTAATAACTTACAAGGTCCACGATCTGATTGAGCTTGAGGCCAAACTTGACCATTAATATAGTAGATGCGTTGATGACCGGTCGGACGGACTTTTCGTATCCCATCATGAGGGACTGGTACAGGCGTTGTTCGTCGGGGATCCGCGGAGTCGTCGTGCACCAACCTATAACGAGAGGGACGCCAATAAGTATATCTATATTTACCAAAAGAGGTCGGAATTTAGCAAACATTCTTTGACCTCTTTTTTATTCCTTATTGTTTTATTGTTGAAGTCTGACGTCCAACATTTATAGCATCAAAAGAAAACAAAGATGCTTTATCGAATTTGTCCAAAGAATTATGCTATACAAATTTGCGTGTTCTTTTTTTACCTATGTTTCAAACTGCTTTTTTTCTTTTTTTCTTCTTTAGATCTGAGAGCAAACAGGTAAACTATTCTGAAAATAACATATTTACTGGGTTTAGTTAATAACAATTATTACTAGAAATAGGCAGTAAAAAGTACATTTATAAAACGTAAGTTTCTCGACAAAGAAAGCCAAACAAAGCAGACGATTAACAGAACCATATGACCATTTATGGTTTTATGTCTTCAATATATTTTTAAAACAATGAGTTTCCATTTATAAGATTTGATATAAATCTAGATTTTGTCATAATGAGACCCTTCCATGCTAAAAAGAACAGATTAACAATGCTTTTATAAGTCTTGAATTATCAAAATTTTCGAAACTCTCTCTTAATATTTTCTTTGACCATCGTCAAGAATTCAACGGCGCTATTTTTATTAGATATGTATAATATTTAATAAGATCCCAATATTTCAATTTCCGAAGGACATTAATTTTCTTCATTAGAGAACAATAATCGCATTAAAATGGTTCCCCCACTTTCTGCTTGAATTAAAATCTACTCCCAGATGCTTATGGTTGTCTGTTAGACTAAAATCGTTTCCCATCCAATTCCTACTCTTAATCTTCCGCCATGTCGATAGGCCATTCGTTCAAAGACTCAAGATTCTTATTTAAAAAATATTCAAATGTCATCTGCAAAAAGCCGAGCATCTAATTCAAAAACATCGACAGTATCATTAATGTATTAAAAACCGAAGCAGCTCAAGAATGGAACCTTGAGGAATCCATCATTCATTCCAACCTATTTGGAAAAACGAACTATTTAAGAAAACTGTCTGTTGCCTATTTTTTTAACCATAGATATATTATTCATCAAAAACTCCGTAATATTTAACTTAAAAATTAAACCTTTATGCCAAACCCGACTTAAGGCTTTGGAAATGTCCCAGCATACCATACAAACATTGTTTTCTTTAGGAGCAATACAAATGTTTTGATAAAATATAATGAGCTAATTTACAGCTGAATAAGCATGCATACAGCCTGACTGGTACTTAAAAAACAAACATTTTTGTATAAAATAATGATAAAGGTGCTTAAGTATCACTCGTTCAAAAACGTTCCTATAGGAAGATAAAAATATAATTGACTTATAGTTAGAAGGAGAATGTCTGTCAACTTTTTTAAACAGTGGCATGATTTTTGCTATATTCCAAGTTGTTGGAAATGTGGAATACTAACGGTTTGCGTGTATTTCTTAACATGTGATGGCTGATTCCATCCCTCGCCCAAAGCCTTGCTGAGCTTCAATATATGTAGAACGTCTGGAGTTTAATTACTATTTACTCTAATAGAACTAAAAGTTTTGTCAGTTTTTGGTTCAACAATAGGAACCATCATCTACTATCATCTACTTGTGTTATATTACAAAAACAATAATTTAATATGTTAGCTTTCTCTTCGTCGTTGGTGAGAACATTTTGGTAGAAACAGGACCTACAAGAGTAGGTATAGATTGTGAATTACCCGTTGATTTCATTAACCGTTTAGAGTAAGATGTTTTATCATAGGACGATACTCTTCAATAATGCAGTGAAATTTTTCTTATCAAATATCATACTAGCATGCTTTTTCTTCATGTTGTAAACTTTATTATGCAGAGATCAAAATTTATTATATAAACTTAATTTATTTTATAACAATGATGAAACTAGTTTTAACAACTTATACTACATCATGTAATCACTTCTGTTGGGCCCGGATGTTATCGCGCGGGAGGTCTTACTATGGGAGGGAGGAAACCGGAGTACCCGGAGAAAACCCACGAAACTTTGTTCAACTCGCAATTTGAGCAATCTATAACGAATTCTCAAATGTTTTCTTAATTCAGGGGCCTTCCAAGAATTGTCATTTTGGTATTATAGTGACCAATTTAGATGGAATACATGAATTTGCATATCTAAGAAAAAAAAATCAGTAAAACGTACACATGAAAAATCAACCGAGTCACAATTTAGGAAAAGTTCGTTCCAATTAAAATAATAATTAAAAAAATGAGATTATTAAACATTTGAAAGTCTTATCCGGAATTTGCAGATTTCTCTCAATTTTTACAAAACTTCTTAATAACGCCAACATTTCTTTTGACAAATGTGGCAGTATAACAAGGTTTAATTGTATTTTACACGATAACGGGACTATCGTCACATTTTAGACTGAGAAATTGCATATGGGAAAGTTGATACAAAAATCCGTTCAGTTTAGAAAAGTTTGTTTTTCTAGCTACAGGTCTAAATGGCGTTACCTTGTGATGTGATCCATAGCAACGTCACTGACGTCTCTATGACGCGCTCCCAAAATTTCCCGGCATGCTCCATCACGGAAGTGACTTCAATCTGCAATGACAAGAAACCTCATTCTTTTACCCGGTACATGTAGCAAACATTATTAGCCGTACGGTAGTATATACGTGTAACCTAGGGTACATGCTTTAGTGAACTTCAAATGAATTATTATAAAATTTCCAAAGAAATCTTCAGAACCTCCCTTACTGCAAACGGACCATAAGTACACGTACTGAAGATACGCATTCAAAAAGAAAACAAAAGTTTTCAAAATATAAACAACAAATGCTTCATGGTTGGCAATTGCAAGGAAAATTATTATTGGATTACCCTTCACATCAATTACAATTTCGATATCAATATGAGAAGGGACAAGACATTTATAAAACTATATCATTTCCAATTCACCGTTATGAGAGGATTCAAAAGAAAGCAACACTTTAATTTGTATTCCTGATGTATCGACAATGTTAGGGCTCCTTTGTGTGCGAGAATTACGCTCCAAGTCTTATTTATAAAGCTCCCCATCAAATACGTTTTGATCTAAACATATTTCATTGCATTAAAATAGCAACGGGTATAATGCAAATGAAACTATTTCAGCACCTCTTCATAGTATTGATAATGGACATGAATGCCAACTCAAATCAGTTCTGTGCCTGCACTTGCCATTTGAAAATATTTAAATTTCATAGAAAACATCATTTATTTATTAAAATTGAGTATGCATCGTTCATACGTGCTCAACAAATAGACAGCATCGTTAGGCGGGGTCAGGCGTGATATTCAATATCAAAAATATGATGCCAGCAATTATAATGAATGCTCCCTGTGTTTGGTCAGATTTACAAGTATGTATATATACCATGTTTCAGTCATGCTATTATCACACTTATATGTAATGTCTTCTAAACGGCATTAATAGGTTTGTCATTTTACGGATAATCTCTCTTCCAATTGTGACCTCTAGTTTTAAATTTCAGTTCCCCTAGCTATTACAAAATACAAAAATTACATATTTTACAAAACCCAAGTGAAAAGACCCTTTATGTATATTATTGTTGATAAAGATATATGCATTGCAATGTTTCGATAAAGTTACTGACTATCAAAAACATCTACTTTCAAGAGAGGACAAAATGCAGGCTACTATGCATACACCGATGGACATAGCATGCCAATAAGACTCCCCAGTATGATAAGGAGCGATAAACAAGCATTGTTTAGAGACAGACTCCGGGGCAACATGGCATGAGCTCTGCTGGTCTGGTCGTTTAAATAGGTTGCGTATAGGTAGCTCGTCGTGTCATTGTAGAACATTTTGTTATAAAGAACTCCAGACATAAGTAGACCTATCTATCATAGGTCTACAGAATGTCGGTTACTTGCACAAGAATGGAAAGACTATACATGTATATGATGTTTGTTTCTTCAACAGCACTCTCCGCTTGACACACACATTTTGAAGTGAGAAACTCATTTACTTACTGTAGCGACGAAAGCAAATCTTCAAAATTCAAGAGTATCGCAGTCGCTACACAAATCTTATCTTCACCCTTGGAATATGTCATGACAAAATGGACGGCACGTAGGTAGCTATTCGAGTGTGTCTCAAGCACAAGAGTAATTGACCAGTCATAAGCTGATACCTATCATTTGAAAATTACAGAAAAGCGACGCCCGACTTGAAAGCCGGTCAATTTCACCGTTACGCTGCTGTGCGATTCTATTCACACTCGATTCTATTCAAGTTGTATCATTCGCAAGGTGTCGCGTCAAAAGTCTTCAATTTTTTCATGACGTAATTTAAGAAGTTATAGAATACATGTGTGTATCGAGAATGGGACATTTGGATTTGAAAGATAATGAAAACAGAAAAGACATTCTCTATTTTAGCTAAACAAGTAGCATTGTCAAATAGACAGATGCTTGGTGCGTTCATAGTATTTGCTTAATTAACAAAAGACACACAATGAATAATTGATAGCAGATTTCTATACATACCAAACAGATTTATTGTGCAATTATAATATATCTGTTTTAAAACATTCGCACATACAAGTACATATTGAAACAATACATATAGGTTTGCATATGGAATACATAAAAATAACATGCATTTAAAAATTGCCAGAAGTTACTCTTTGAAGAATGTTCAGAAACTGTATAAAAATGATTTTTTATAAATAATCTTATCTATCGAGTTATGCATACATGTATATTCATAACTGTTTTTCCCCACTGAAACATTAATCATAATTATGTGTATTTTTATCTTATTACGCTACACAAAATGTACATGTACCCTGTCAAATTATTATCATAATAACCACATGCAATTAAATATAACGTGTATACATACGAGAATATTTTCCGTTAGACGTCATCCTGTGTTGATACAGGTATGTCTACATTTGTATGACGTTGTCATGAAATTGCAAATCTTGCTTTGCATTAGACTTTGACCACGTTTCTCTTTATTATATCAATTGCTGCCCTTTTTTAAAGTATTGTCACAAATTACATAACAGAAAATTGTCGACAGAAACGACACCGCAAAACTTTTAAGATTAAAAAAGCTAAAAATATTCACCACTGCAGTTAGTATAGATTACATGGATGTGTTAATAGCATATTTGATAATTTGCATTATGTTTTTATTGCTATCATTGTTATTTATTAAGTGATTTATTTGTTTTTATCTTATATTTTGTTTTTGTTATTGTGTATGTAGTCAGCAGAAAACAAACGCGACGTTATCGAGATCGCCCGTCCCGACCATGTTTAATATAAATTGCCAGTGTCAAGATCACTTTTCAATCACTTCAGTTAAGAAAGAAGAATTAATGCATATTGTCTCGCTTGTGTAACCGACAGATAGGCAGACATTGCATTATAAATTGATATCAAATTCACAAATGTCTGACTTCTTCTACAACCACATCATTTACTGGACATCTACAGACAGTATTTATTGCTTTCCTGAAATTAATGGCTGCGAGGAGCACCAGCCAAAATTCGACAAAGATCAGGGCTACCGTAATTTGATCATGTATTGTAGTTCCATAGCTATCCCCAGCTAGTACGTATATGGACATGCTATGATAGGGTTATGCATTACTTCACCGATTGGTCACAGACAGAATGATCTGATAAACACAATACAATGATATTCTTATTTTTTCTAATATAGCTAAAAGCAGAACAGCCTAGAAGCGTTTCGTAAATTGAAACCTGAATTTTGAGAGAAAGATTTATACATCTATTAAATTGTTGTCTCTCTGAAGTCAACACGCACTGGTTTGTACTATCTCTGTGTGATCTTTCGACCCGTTCTGGTCTCCTTGAATTTATATTGAGGGGGAAAAGGGAGTCTTTATTTAATATCAGGGAAATATCACGCCAATTTTATCGAGATATTGAAAAACCGTTCTCGTGAAGTCGGAAATATCTTACTCAAATAAATGCTACAGTGACCCTCCAGGATTTTAAACCGTCCCGATAAATAACTAATTAAACCTGTTTGGATTTCCAACTGTTTGGCCGTAGCATCACCGATGAGCTTTAAGTCCTGGATGGACAGAACAGCAATAATATCAATAAGCAAATTTCATATGTCATTCACCAAGGGGTGTTTTACAATCATCTTTCGAGATAAAAGCTGGTGGAATCTGCCGGTGGATTTCGTTAATTTGTTAGCCACAATAATCTCTTGAGTAACACTATCCATCATACACGCGCTTTGCTCATTGTTTAATTTGAAATTAACAGTTCTCATTAAAAATCCTAAAATAAAAGGATTTTACGCGCCTCCCATATGTTTCAACAGCAGTTTAAACCAATTAAGATTTCCAACCATTTTAGCCCCAAACATCACTGACGATTCCATGAAGGATGACATAGCTTTATGAAGCGGTGTAAATCGTTTTTGGCAACTGTACAATATGTATCTAGTACCAAGTCTTTTAAGGCGCATTGACCTATTTGTGATGTTGTTAATATTTCAGTCGGCTCACCACAAGAAGATAATTCATAACATTATTTTGATTTAACACAACTCTAACGCCTAATACTGTACCACAGGGACTTGAGAATTTGTTATTGCTATATTTAGACCTAAACTATAGATGTTCAGATTGATTGTACAAGTTTTAGGGGTTAAGATCAACGTTCGGTAAAACTGCCTTAATTTATACCCCTTAAACTTGAAAAAAATTACTCTGAACACCCTAGTTTAGACCAGAACATAGCAATAACAAATTCTCAAGTCCCTAAGCCTGCCCTATACTACCTAAATGCAGTCGAATTATGATCATCAATACATCAGCCTATTTTGCGACACTCGGTTTTTATCTGATATTTTTCCTTTAGTTTGATTAAAGACGATAGTCATTAACTTCCTGACTTCATAAAATTTCCTTTGTCAGACCTTTCCAAGGAGGGTAAGGGGTGAGGTATAGCGGTGATCAAAGCATCTATCCAGTTCGGCAATTTGATCCAAAACAAAACACACAGACTGATGTTTACCAGCATGTCCCTTTTCCAGTGCCAATTTTAACATGTCAGAACCTGATGTTTGAAATGAGCCTTTCATGGAATATTATACAAATCATCGCTAGTGAATTCACAAACACATGTCAAATTCTTCAATAGCTGAGTGAGTTTTTAAAAATTTCATTTTCTTTTCGAATTAAAATTGCATATTTTTCGACATAGAATGTAGCAGATGCTATTTAAGATATGAAATGTAAAACTGTAATATTTTGCAACATGCAATATTGTAGTTTTGCATGTTGTAGATTTGGTACAATGCGCACTAATAGGAGGGGAGAAAGCACCGTTTTAAAAATATTATACAATTATAGCATGGTGATGAGGTCGATACATGTTTTTATCAACCTAGGTTGATAAAACCATGTATCGACCGAAATCACCATGATACAATAGTTTTATTATTTTAATTGATTTTTTCAAAATTGAACAAAAAAAAATTATAGCAGGTTAATAACACTTGTTCTACCAACCTTTTTGAACACCTGCAAACCACTCAG